GAGTGCTAACCTACTTCTGATTTCTCTAAGAGTCAAGGGACTTCAGTGCCTCACAGGATTCCTTATGGGAATTGAGGTGGATTACATTCCAAAACTGCAAGAGGTTCAAAAGATAGATCTGAATCCAAGTGCAGTAGCCCTACAAGTTTGCTCCAGCCTCTGCAACTTGATGTGCACCTTGATGGGGTCATCTGACCCTAGCGGTCCTTCCTGCCCAAGTACAGGGGGGCTGGACCTAGTGATCTTGTGAAGTCCCTTCCAGCCGCTAACATCTATGAATCTATGAATCTATGAAGTAGTGATACTGCAGAGTAGAGGCGGCAGCAAGAGAAGCCAGTGTTAGTAAAGGTAACCAGAGGTCTGTTCTTTTTTAAGATCTATTACATGTCACCTTGTTTGGGCACTTTTTAAATTTCTGTTAAAAGACCCTATTTAAAATGTTGCAAATATTGTTAGCATTATAGCAGATGCAGGGTATAGCTTTAAATGTCAAGCAACATCTTGTCACTCCTTGGCCACATCTACACAAGACACTTACTGCCCAGTTGTTACTGTGCAGTCATTTGGTACTTGTATACTAGGCCTGCATGAATAGGAAAGTATTTGATTCGGATATGGCCAATTCGGAGAACAGTGATTCAATTCGGTAATTCGAATCACTGTCCCCACTCAATCTGGCCAAATCAGAATCAGAGATTCAGCACTGATTCAGTGCTGATTCGGAGATTCGGATCTGCCAGGGACAGGCAGGCACAGCCAGGTGGCTGCAGGTTCTCCTGTGGCTCCTCCAGCTGTGCCTGCCTCTCCCCAGTTCGGGGGAGCCGTGGGAGAAGTCCCCATGACTGCCCTGCCCTGGCCTAAGCCTCCCGGCACTTTAAAAAAAAAAGCCCCACACTCACTGGCTGTAGCAGGGAATGTGAGGGCTCTGGGGCCTCCTGGCAGCACCCCCATCACACAGACCCCATGCCCAGATTGCCCCCTTGCCCGGCCCCGCCCCTGATGCCTCCCCCAACCCGGCTGGCCCCAGCAGCCCAGGAATCAAAAAAAAAAGAAAAAGGAAACCCACACTCACTGGCAGTAGCAGCAGCTGTGGGGGCTCTGTGGGGGCCACGTGGCAGAGCCCCCCCACACAGCCCCAGCTCCCTGATCTCCCCGTCTGCCTAGACCCAGCATCCCGGCAATTATAAATAAATAAAAAAAAACCCTACACTCACCCACTCACTGGTTCTGGCAGTGGCAAATGGGTCCTCTGAGGGCTTGTGCCAGAGCCCCCCCATGCAGTGTGTGACAGCATGGATTGTCCCCCCAGTCTGGCACCCACATGGCAGCTGTCATATTGCACAGGTGCAGAGCAGCTCAGCAGTGCATCTCACGCTGTCTGGGAGCTAGGATGGCTCCACATCTCAGCCAGAGCCTGGCACTGCTCAGCCCCAGTGGCCCCAGCTCCCACACAGTACATGGCGCCCTGCTGAGCCATGCTGCACCCGCACCATAGGGCAGTTGCCGCAAGGCTGCCAGGTGGGGGGAAGCGATTCCCCACTGTCCCCTGCTGCCCTGCACTGCATCAGAGGTGGGGGTGGAGCTCTGCCATGAGTGGCCAGAGGCCCCAATCGCCACTGCTACAGTTGGTGAGTGCAGGGCTTTTTTCTTCTTTTTTAATTGCCAGGATGCTGGGGTCAGGTGGAGCAGCCATTGAAAGCAAGGCTGGGGCTCGGCTGGGGGGAGATCGGGGAGCAGGGACTGTGGGTGGGGCTCTGCCACATGGCTCCAGAGGTCCCACATCCACTGCTATGGCCAGTGAGTGTGGGTTTTTGTTTTGTCTTTATTCCCAGGCTGCTGGGGCTAGGAGGGGTGGGGATCTGGGATGGGGATGGGGATGGGTGGGAGGGGAGTGATAAGGGAGTGGGAGCTGCACAGGGGGAGGGACTCTGCCAGGAGGCCCCCACAGCCCCCACAGCTCCTGCTACAGCCACTGAGTGTGGGGCTTTTTTTTTTGAGTGCCAAGATGCTGGGGCTGGGTGGGAGATAGGTCTGGGACAGGGCAGCCATGGGGGCTTCTCCCATGGCTCCCCCTGCCTGTTGAGAGGCAGACACATCCAGAGGAGCCATGGGAACCACTTAGCTGTGCCTGCCTCTTCCTGGCCAATCTGGATCTCCAAATCTCTCTTTTCAAAGTCTATTTGGAGTCTTTGGATTTGATTCGAACCTTTTAATGGGTCTCCGGATTCGATTTGGAGATTCAGTCACCAAATCAGGCCAAATCTTCTCCAAATCAAATATGCGACCAAAGCTTTGCACAACCCTATTGTATACACTATACTTGTGTATACAGATACTAAATGACTGCGCAGTAAACAGAGTTTAACAGCATTGCTGAACAGCTTTTAGGTGATGCTGACTGCATAGTAGCTCATTACTACTGAGCAGTAGTGTTGCATCACGCTTTGTGCTACACAATGCTATTGTGCAGTAGTAACAAGCTACTATGGAGTCAGTGTTTCATGTAGATGTGGCCCCTGTGTTTATAATAATTCTTTTAAAACAATTTAAATAGCCAGAAAACTATTAGATTTTATATGGAATGTTACTAATGTAAGACTGCTAAAAATCACTGTTATGCTAAATAACTAACCTCTGTTTTTTAGAGAGGCTGAACAGTCAAATTTCCCATTAATGTCAATAGAACTGCAGATTCTTAGCCTTTCAAAAAACTAGTTAAGTTCCTCAGCTACCTGGGGTATTATAAAATCCTAAATGGACAGACTGGTTAGGTTGCTAATTATGCTTAACTTTGGGTGAACACATTTGCAAATCTTGACTCAGTTATCCTGCATATAACAGACAATGAACAGTTATTCGCAGGCAATATGCCGAAGTGTGAGTCATACCAAATATAGTCAAAATAACTGCATTATGTGAAGCCAGAAAAGAGCAATACAAAGGTTTGTAAAAAAGGAAAGAAACAATCAAAATATAGGCAAAGAACAATAAAATATGTAAACTGAAGTGCACCAGTCATCTCACCAGTTATGTATTTTCCTCCTCTGCATGCATATACTGATTGTGCAAAGTCAGCTTCAAAGAATGAACAAGTGAGTGAGTGAATATTAAGTTTGAAAAGTGAACTGGCACAATAATATATTTAAAAATCTCCTGCTGAGATATTGGTATGTGCAAGTATCTTAGAATCTTACTGTTAATAAAGTTGACAGTTATCTGGTTCATAAAGTAAGATGACAGAATTAGTACAAGAAAGAACTGTATACACAATGGTCAACTCTGTTAGATACTGATTCCTTCTCAAAGCCTATTGGGCCTTTCCTAAGATATAACCTTACTACTAAAGTATGCTATAATGTAATTTGGCCTTTCTCCAGCCTGAAACAAAGAAGCCATAGTCTAACTTGAACCCACAGGTTAATCTGACTTCACTTTGCTTCACAAAATTAATTCTAAAAACATAAGAAATGAATTTTCCTGATCAGTTGTGCAAATATGATTAATAAAAGACATATTTTTCTGTTTAAACATCACAGTGCCTTAAATATCTTTCCTGGTAGCCTGCAGACACACTTTTGGCAACAGCGTGCACTGTACATTGGAGTGGGTCTGAATCATTACAAAGATCAAACTTTACTTGCACAATGCTGAATTTACATAAAAGGCTGTTTGACATTATCTGTCAGTCTCCTGCTCTTTAAGATCACCAAAGATGTATCAGGAAGGGGAGCCAGCATCATAGCCCTGAACTCTGTAAAAAAGGGGGCTGGGGGGCGGGGGAAGCTATTCAATGGCAAGAAGGTGCTACAGGAAATAGGAATTGAATTTCATTGAATGCCTGGGTCTTGTTAGAGTTGCCTATAGCATCGTTTTTCCTTCCATGTAATGTCTGTGCACACACACGCGCGCGCGCACACACACACACGCACACACAAATATGTTGCACAGCAGGAGGTCATTGCAGTAAGTTCAGTGGTATGATGCCAGCTAGTAAAATGTCTAGTTCTGAAGAATGTATTTCAAATACTTTGACATGTAATATATGCTGTATGTCTTGCCATAAGAGCTTTCATACATGCTTCTTGTCCAGTCCACTTCATTAAAGGGTCAGCTAAATATTCTAAAATTAAAAATATTGGTCTCACTCCATTTCCTTTGAAATAAAAGCTGAAATGTCCTTTCACTTCAGTGAAGCTAGACCATGGCTGAACACTTTTAGCAAACCCATGCCCAGTATTCAGTGTGTAAATGAAGGTATATAGTGGGCCAGAAGGAAAAAAGATAATAGAGACCAGAAATGTAGCATCACATGTGGCAGACACTTCATAATCATTGAAAGGGTGAAGGAGAATCAAACCACAGTCAGCTCAAGTTTCACTGTTAAACAAATGTGGTGTCTTCCGAGGGGGAAAAAAACCAATCTTCCCTTCAAAGAAGATGAATGAGTGGGGAACGCTGTGTGTAGCAGAGAGGGTCAGAAATGTCCAGGAGAGGGCATTTTTTCAAGGTAGTTTCAGGAAGCACCTTTGAAGGCATTATTATTACTTTCCTTTGGTATAAAGTCCGAATGTTGGCAGTTTTTCATCTTGGATGTTCTAATCTCTTTCCAATCCAGGTTTTCTTCTCCTTAGCTCATTTGTCATACCGTAAATACAACAAATACTGATACAGCTGAAATCCTGAAAGCCCCCAAAAAGCCTTAACGTCATTCCTCATAATGAGTTCATCACACTTCTCTGCAGAAAATTGTTTGAGATCTTGTTAACCTGTATGCTGCAGGATGTGTGTATCTGACAGTTTAGTCTGTCTGTCTTTCAGCTTGAGATGAGATGCTGAAGTGCATTGCAAGTATGCAGGAGTTGCTCCCAACTGTTGCAGTAGGGTGAGGTGGCAGAATTGCCAAAGTCTTTTTCTACAGCTCCAGAGGTGTGAGTTTGAGTTTAGCTCCAGATGCACTGAAGGCTTTTCTTAGTTTATTCAACTGTAAATGTTTTTTTCAGGCTGGGGAATCAAAGATGGCTGGATATGATGCTAGCCACATTATTCCACTGACTGCAAAAACAGGTATGCTTCAATTGTGCTTAACTGGAAGGGATAACAAGGCTTGGAACTTAGACTTTCTTTTTTCCCCTAATGAAATGCCTACAATTGTCAAAGACCCTGACTTCCAAATGAGCTCAAGCAAGCAGCTCCTTGCTTTCCACACAGCTCCACTAAGCTCAGCGCAGGGGCTGCCCCTGTAGTTGATTTTTCAAGATTGGCTTCACTGCAACATCACACGAGAATTTAGGTGTCTGTTGGTAACATTAGTAGCTACAAGGAGCCCTACACATACACTTTGCAATGAACTCTTTCCTTAGAGGTCTGTGAATGTAAGCAATGTAAGCAATTATTTATTTACGAAGTGATGTTGCATATAAGGCACTTTCTGAACACCAATAGGATTGATCTCAGGCTAATAGACTTGGGCTCAGTTGTCGAGAGAGACCAAAGCTGAGGTTCCACCACTGAGGTGAGTCTACAGAAAGGTATCTGCTCATGCTGGGCATGTGCAGGCATTCACCATATCTGAACTATGATCACACATCTTACTTTAAGCTGCCTGATAGTAGATAATAATATAAATAAGTCAGCGTGAAGGGAGAGGTGGGCAGGATGGGGGGTAGGCCACTGGGTCCACAGGAGTCTGGCGGGTCTGCAGGAGTGTTGGTGGGTCCATGGAAGGGGGGGGGGGGTCTGTCTGGGGGCAGAGGGGTCAGGAAGCTAAACATAGTCCAATGAAGGGGCCAAAGGGGGGGAGGGAGGTAGAAAGAGTGCAATTCCAGAGCTGGAATGATGCACTTTCCCAGCCC